CGGGGCAGCGCCTGGGCCGTGGCCTCGCCCCGCGGCGGCCAGGGGCCGTCACTGGATGGCCTCCACGTAGTTCGCTGGGTACAGGCCCACCTGCCCGTTGTCCAAGCGTCCTTTGCACCAGCCCTGCTCATCCTCGTCCTCGATCTTGGTCAGCTCGTCCCCTGCAGGACAAAAAGGCAGCGATCTTGGCGAGCAGGCGGGCACCGGCCTCTAGGGGCCAGAGCGCCGCCCCCCGCGGCCCCGTCCTGGCCCGTGGCAGGGAGGCGGGCACACCCCGGGCCGGCCCCGCTCGTCTCCCTAGACTGCACTTAGCTGCCAGTCACGGCCTCTGAGTGCCGCGAAGCCCCGTCCCTCGTGCGACCGCAGCCCTCGTGCGACCGCAGCGGAAAGCTCCCAGAGGCCGCAGCAGGATTCAGCCTCAGGCCGGCGCCCTCCTGGCTGCCCCAGGCCAGGCCCCGGCTCAGGAGCCGCCCCCAGCCCCTGCGCCTTCGTCCTTCCTCCCTCCCGCCTCAGCGCCTGCCCGGGCACCACTGCCGGCGTGCAGGTGGCTGGCACCCACTCCCTCCCCTGCACCCAGCTCGGAGCCTCCGCCAACCCTCCCAGACTCAGACAGAGGGGTGTCGGCGACTCGGGCTTGTGCAGCGTGAAGGAAGCCCCCCTTCGGGCCAGGGCCCGGTGGCAGAGGAGCTGGCAGGAGAGGGCCGGGCTGAGCCCCGCTCAGGCCTCGCGGGGGCCGGGGGCGCGGCGGGCCCACCGCACAGCGCCTCTGTCTGGCTCAGCCCGCAGCTGTGCGGCTCCGGGGGCCGCTCTGCCCCCAGCCGCCCGCCCAGGGTCGCACCCCGACTCTGCTCTGCGCAGCGGCAGCCACGCCCGAGTCCAGTCATGGGGGCACGGGCGGGGCGGGGCGGCTGGCCCACTGCCACCCCGGGGACCTGGTTTCCACGAGTGGGTGGGGTGCAGCGGGGTTAAGGCTGAATCACGAGCGCCCGGCTGCGAGTTCCTTCACAGCGAACACGGGGGAAGGCACACTGCCTGCGCCACGGAGGCTCCAGAGCCAGCCGCTATGCCGCCTGGTGGCGCAGCCCCCTGGGGTGGGTGCTGGGGGCTTCAGGGAGGGAGCAGCCCCGCACTCCAGAGGCCCCCAGAGGGTGGGCACCCTGAGTTGCCCAGGTCAGCCAAGCAAAGCAAGGACTAGCGGCCTCTGCACAGGGCCGCCCGCGGCCAGGCACAGGCGGGCTGCAGCCCGGCCACGCAGAGCCCGTGGCAGGTGCCCACAGCAGAGGCACCGGCTGAGGCAGGGCCCCCGGAC